CCTGAGACAACATATATTATACAGCGAGGGACATACAGTAAATAGTATCCTCAGCGGCAGGTAATCCCACGCCAATCACCGCAGAATGGCTTCAGTTCCTCTGCAATTTTGCTCATTAGACGTTAAAACATGACTCAACTTGGGCTTTCAGGATCGTAATTGCCACATTAATAAATCTGCTCTGAGTTTCTTAAGCCCCCCCCCCCCCCCCCCCCCCCCCCCCCAAAAAAAAATGTCACCGCACCAGCTGCAGCTCAAGCTCACGGGGGAGAAATCTGAAATTAGAAATGCGAGACGTTAGTTTTAAGCAGAATTGGGAATGCATCTGAGGGGATGAAAAATTGATTGAAAACTGAGGTGAACAATATGAAAGTGAGAGAGCATTGCCCGGTGGAATGAGAAATGCCCCAGTTTCCTCACTATCAAACAATCCTCTGACTTTTTCAGTGGTTAAAAATAGTGTGTGACACATCATGCTTAGTGAAAGCATTAGTGAAACAGACCTGATGGCGGATTTCCATTAATGTGCTTATTCTTTTTTCTGTTTTATAACTCCCGCACACCCACTTTCTCTCCACCACCATCCCTCTGCACGACCTGCAGGAAGATCCCAGGCATCAACACATACATGGCAGAACAGACTGATAAAGAACAAGAGGTCATCCCCACGGTGACCTCCATAGCCGTCCCAAACCCTGAGGGGGACGAGCTGACCTCGCTGGATCATGTGGATGCCCAGCTGAACTCAAAAGACAGAGGTATTGATGTGTGTATTTTCTATCTAAAGCTGCAGGGTTTAAGTTTTTTAGCTCCGGTTGGATAGAGACAATACTCTATTTTACTGCAGACTTGGTTCCATTTTTCTGCAACTGCAGTGTTTGTGCACTTTGTTTTTATATTCATAGTACATAATATATGAATTCTCTTTGATTTTCTTTTATTTTATTGTTGGTATTTCCATTAAGAGTTTACAACAAATGTGTCCTTTCAGTCCCAATTTAAACACTTTTAAAGATGCTTTTATTGGTGCAATTCCAGTGATGACGGAATGACAGTCTGTCTAATGTTTCAAAACACGTGGAAATGTTTACTAAAAGCTCGCTGGCAGAGTGAAATAAATAAAATTGCAAGTTAGGCGTTGAGGATTTCTTTAGTAACCTTTACTTAATAGTATCTTATTCATTCATGCGAACATAAAAGTACAACTTTGTTATTTGCATTACTTTTGTTCGTGTTTTAATGGACTTTTTTTATTTTTGTTTTGCGAAAAGGTGACAGCCATTAAAAATATAAAAAGCATGAGTAACTTGGTCAACTGTCATAATTTAGATTACCGCGTTAGCTGCAGACTATGGGCAACACTTGAGCTCATTTGGAGGTTTGAGTGCTTCCACAGCTGCAAATGTACTTTTCAGTCTCCTTCCCATTTCTCCAGATGTTTTATTTTCTTAAGCAGAGCTTTGCTGGTTTTTTGAGCCACTAGTTAACACAAACATTACATTTTGATGAGAAAAATGTAACTTTTTAAGATGTTTGAAATGGATTTTCCTATAAAATCAGCTGTTGGCTTCTCTGAGTAGACAGGTGATGTAGAGCTTATTTAATACCCCCCTGAAAAGAAATACATCTATGTCCATCTAGCCCTAACTTTGAATCAAATGGTTATTATTTGAGGAGAAATGATTCATACCAAAAAATAGATAAATAAACACATGCAAGTAAAATCCTAATCAAAGTTCTTTCTTTGTATTTTGTTGTCATGTTACCTATGTTGCCCTCTAGTGGTGTCATGTGGTAATTTTACTGTAGTTTATTTTAGAAAAATGCGAAATTCAAGGAAAAACAATCTGCAGCAGTAGTGTGGACAGGGCTTGACTGAATCCACTCACTTATGGAAATTGATCATCTAAAATTAGAGCAACAACATTTATGCAAAGCTCTCATTACTGGGCTTTCTTCATCCTGAAACTCACCCATTGTCATGAGCCAGACTCAGCCCTAGAGATGAGATGAAGAGCTGCATAAGGATACCTCAGCAAGAGGGTCCCAGGTTAATCCAGGATACGTTGGAGGGATTACATCTCCATGTTAGGAACACCTGGAAACCCTGCCAGTGGAACTTCTGGAGGTTGACTGGACTCTCTGCTGCTCTATTCTTGAGAATGTGCAAACGGACAAACACTTACATTAAGGGCCAGACTTATGGCTCTTCCATCATTTGCCATTCGTTTTGAACACAGTTACAACTTTACCCCAAGCACTATACCTATGCGAGAAACTTAGTTATCTTTTATATTTATAAAGCACATTATAGGTCAGCTTTACTCATATTTGAATACATCAGCATGGTCTTTAGTAGGAGTGAGTGCCTTGTAAGTCGTTCTTTGGCGGAAAAAAAGCTCAGATGTGCCTGTTTGAAGATGTAGAAGTCAGATGGAGGAGAGAGTAGCTTGACATGATTTTGAGTCTATTTTCCTGATATTTGGACATTTCACCTTTGTTTGGCTAATGGCAACACAACTCCATAGACATTCTAATGTCTAAACTTCCTTCCAAGAAATTTCTCACTGTAAAATTCTCACTATATTTTTACATAATGAACGGATGAAAGGATTAGATTACTCATTTAATCAATGCATTTATAGTGGTCCGTAGAAGGAAGGAATGCCTTTCAGGCAGTACTCAGGGCATCAAAAAGCCCACAAACCCCAAGTCTGCAACATCACAGCTGAGCTTCATATGGCAGCATTTGGAGTATATTTTACTTTGGACATCTGCCAAATATCATTTTGCCCCAGACTGGTTACCATCAACACAACTCTACCACTGACTTGCAACATGGATGTCTTATCTCCACAAACACAAGCCTGGAGGGGCTTCTGCTGTGTGGTGGTGTTGCTAATGCTAACTGTTGGCTTAAACTAGCCAAGTCGTCCGCTGTTGATTACCAGACATTAAACAAACAAAAACCTTCCCCCGTCATGAGTGACGGTAGGTGAGAGTTAACTCACAGTGTGAAGTAGATCTGTGAGGATTTTCAAATCCTAGAGTTTCAACGTCTATTTTCTATCAGAAGCTAATGCAGGAGATTGATGTGGGAGACTGTTTTCATGTTCAGCCTGCATGAAAATCTCAGAGCGACCGATTATAATCAGAAAAAACCCAGAAAAGTTAGATTTTCCTTGAATGTGCTACCCATCTGTTTAGCATTATCTGGTGTGTGAGTTAAGCCAGACATTTAGCATGAATGCTACATTAGCCTTTAAACAGCGGAACTAGACATCTCACAACCTCAGCACTCAAACCAGAACTCTTTGAATAATTTGGGTGATATGTATTTGTAAGGAACCCTTTAGAACAGAATCATTTTTCACTTCAGTAAAAAAACCATGGCCACAGGTTGACAGCAAAAACAGATTCACTTAATGTTAAGTGCTGATGCTGTCTCTCCGCCTCCTGCATTGTCATGCAAGTTGCCAAGAGGCAGCTTTTATTGTGCACTGTATATTTATGCTTTTACCGTCCGGAGTTTGTTGTATGGAGGTATTAGTCTACACAGGTAAGTGAAGCACAATCAGGTGCCAGCTAAAGTGATGGGGATGTCCCGGTGAATTATTTGATCCAATAAAATAATTAGAGAATCAGGAAAGCGGTGGAGCGGTGAAAGCATTTTCATCAAGGAATATCTATGAAGTTCCAGTTGATTTACCTCCTCCCGTACCTACAGTAAACAATCGACCCATCCAAGATGAATGTGTTTGCCTGCAAAAATACACACTTATGCAAATGCCTAATAGAATCTCTCCACTGACTCTTCCCTTTCTCTTCTCCCTCACCAGGCTACCTGCCATCTCACACAGACATCAACCTCTCGGATGAAGCGCCCTGTGTGTTTTAATGTTGGGAGTCTATGACTGACTCGAAAGCAATACATCTTCTCTGGCAGTTACTTCCAGCAAGCTAGGAAACTGCGGTCACAATGAATGGTCTCGAGTCTTTTTGCTGCCCATGCATGGATGGACCAGTTCACACTGCGCTGCCTAAATCCCTCAGAGGAGACTGCACAGATTTATACTTGCCTCTTGAAAAGGAACACTTTTTGACTGAAATACTTGTATTTTTGCAAGGACATTGATCTTTTTATGTAAATAATGTACATCCATAATGGAAGAAGTGAACGTTATTTGTCTCAGCTGGTTACAGCTGCATCTGCCCAAATGTGAAACCGTCAAATGGCGAAACGACAGAGATGCGTAATGAAACTTCCGATTTTTCTTCCTATTTCTGTTTATAGACTTGTGTTTTGAGAAGTTTACTTTTTTTTGCAAGTACATGAGCGAGCTTATCTGGGTAAAGACGGTGAAGGAACCGGGTTCATTAAGCTCTTTGTAATCAGTAAATCTTATCACCAGATTCTCATCCAATGGAAGCTCGCAATATCCAGGAGATGATGGAGGGCTCCCAGCCTCAGATCTGTGTATTCCATCAAGCCTGTCCCTCTGCAGCTCACAGTGTTATATATATGTCATAACAGCGGGAAAAAAAGAACAGAAGATTATAGGAGATAGGTATACACAGAAGATGCAAATCTGAGCAGTCCCTCTTGTTTAGGAGACACAAATAAGTCATTTTAGTACCAGCGAACCATCACTTATCCACGCAGAGCTAAAATATTCTAATGATGCTATGTGTTTTTGCAGCAGCAATGCTTTCATTTAGTGCGGCCATTTTGACTCTAAACTTATTCATCTGTAGCTGGGTGAATTTCTTGTTCACCTTTTAACAACAACATGTAAATTTACTAGATACTCCCTGTGCAGACAAGTTTACAAACAACTTAATTTGTAATGCAGCAAAAAAAAAAAGAATTGACAAAGTTGTAAATGTGCATTTTAATTAGTCACCAGATCAAAGTGTGTTTTCTTTAAAACCACAAAGTTACAAACTCCTTGGCAGACTTACAGAATGCTTCTTGTCGTTCCTTTGAACTGATATTTACTGCGAAGGTTGAGGTATCATTTATATTCTGTATTTTTTTACTCTTATTTTGCTGTGCTAATAGCCTTTTTACCCTTCAGCGTGATATCAGCACCTATAAACACTGTTTCCCAGGTTTCCGGCGATGCAGAGGAGCCTGCAGCCTGTTCCTGGTTTGCCCCCAAGGACTCGGCGAACAAAAGGCTGCAGATTTGTTCGTCTCCTCTGCTACGAGGGACACGGAGATAGAGAAGACGTATCTCCTGTCAACATGGCTCAGCCTACGCGCGCAGCTTCGGTCAGCTGCTGTCTCTTTGGGATATGTACTGAAGTTCTTCTTCATCAAACTTTTCTTTTTAAGTGTTGTCAGCATCATATGTCAGCAAGACAAATTGACCAGAGGCTTCTCGATGCTTCTTCCTCGCAATCCTCTGATTGAGCCCGAAGCATAAATAAACTTAGACGAACTCCACACACGCTTGTCAGAAGATCTCTTTTTACTCCCTCCCGTGCTTGCAATTTATTTTAGTAAATTTCATTTGAGTCTCGAATATTGATCTGTGAATACAGTTGTGAACCTATTTGCATGACGTTTTTTGTTTCCTCTTTCAAGCTACTTAAACTATGTCTCATTTAGAAAGAAGAAAAGATTAGAAAAAATTGTGAATTACGGTATTTTCTGTTTTCTCAGAGGCTGTGCACAAGCCGTTCATTGTGAGGTGATCATTGAATGGGTTGTTAAAATGTTTTTATTTGATCTTGCAGAAGCAAACTGAATAAAGCAGAGACACAACAGAAAGGCAACATGGCTGCTTGTTGAGTTCATTCTTAGAAGCACAAACACTTTACATCACGTATCTGACTACCACCATTAGTCATTCATGACTTCACCTCATCTGTCTGTCTCAAACTGGTGGTTATGACTCTCTCACTCAGATTATTTAGGGGTTTTTTGTGCTTCGCCACTTAATAAGTGTTGCTTGGCATGCCCAAAGTTTCACTGCAGCCATTTCCTTGTTACAAAGAGGCCGAGTGGGAGGACAATGAAAAGCACAGAGTATCCTGGAGTGATTCTAATTGGCTAGTTTCTTGGTTCTCCCACTGTGCAACAAATTAATTATCCCCTCTCCAGGAAATCACACACACGCACACGCACACACACACACACACACACACACACACACACACACACACACACACACACACACACACACACACACACACACACACACACACACACACACACACACACAGTCAACAAAGGAGATTTTCCCTGTCTGGGTAGCACCTTGAATGAAAAATGTCCCACAACAATAACCCACAGCAATATTGTGTTAGCCACAGTGTGAAATTGATGAGCATGTTTCCTTTCATTGAGTGCTACATTACAGTGTCTGGCTGCAGCGAATCATCCATTAGTGATTGTCACCGTTCAATTTGATTGTGCAACGCCGAACATCCCAGGGCGGTTAGAGAAAGGCCTTGGTGTTAATTCAGACTGAGAGCAGAGGCGAGAATAAGACTCTCGGGGCGTTGATGGCTGTTTGAGTGATGGAGATTGGTGTGTGGTACAAAGTTGTTGAAGTGGCAAACAAAATGCAGAGCAGAGGACGGGCCGGTTTGCTGCCGCCGCGTCGAGTGTGGGCTTTCGTCCTTCGACCTGACAGCTTGTCTGACTTTTATTGTGCAACACTTCCTTACTTAATATAAACAAAGTGGAAGCTATTGTAATATTTTCCGAACCAAATCATCTGCTTCTCATCAGCATCCAGTAATTGCTCCCATTAAAGAGAAACCATCAGTAACAGGCAAACCTGAGTAATAGTGGCGAAGTGAAGCTCAGTCTAAATGTCAGATGGGAATCTTCACATGGCCGTTATCACACCTCTGCCCATTAAAGCTGACTTTAGAGCCTCTGTGAGATCATTAAGAGTAGTGTGATACACTGACTGCTACAAGCCACCTGTGCTTCTGATAAGACTGGGGCAGTCTTGTATGAACATGGCTTCCTGGACCAATTTGTTCTTGCAGGTTCATGTCATGACAACACCGACACGACTGCTTAAACACACCAAAGCACAGAGGGGGACGTGCACAACAGGGAAAATAATATTAATGATATAAAAATACATTTATTTTGAACAGTTTCAGAAGAAATGTGATTTAAAACAAAGAACTGACAAAAGGGTACAACACTATTGATCGTATCATGCATAACGTTTGAACGACTGCACAACTAGACCAGTACACAAGTGTTTAATAATTAGTTTAATGCGCCAAGTAAACTTTAAAATCACCATAAATAAATATATTTGTACAGAACTCACACACCCCAGTGCAGTCTTTGATCACAGACCGTCAGGGCATGTCGTCGTTTAAAAAAAATTAAATCAAAGTATACAGCTTGTTGCTGGACTGGAGGTGATTGAAACACAATACAGCTCTGATCAGTGACTTTACAACAAAGAATGAATATATTATATCCCTTCTTTTTCTATGTACAACTTTAACCCTTAAGGCCAGACTTTCATCAAACAATCTTTTAAATCGCTGTACATCCAACAGAGTTTTTTCAGCATTCACAACAGTCAGATTTTGACATTATCACACATCAGAGTTATATGTAATAGTCAAATATCTTTTATTTTAAGGTACAAAGATGATAAACTCCAGGATAGCAGAATTTCACAAAAAGGTAGTCATTATATCTCAATGCCATGGAGGCATACCTGTTCTGTTTGTCGTAAAAAATACGCACACAGAGTGAGCCAAGCAGGACACAAATATTAAAATAACTCTTATAAAGAAAAGAAAATGACAGGTCAGATTACAGCCTGAGTTAATTTGTGTGGTAAGGGAACATTTTAAGAAAAAAAAAAAGAAAATAAACAAGTAAATGATGTGAGGTAGAAATAAAAACATAACATTTATGTGATATTTTATCAAACACATTTATCTGTCTTGTGCTGGTTATGTAACCCTAAAAAAGAACCAGATTACAGAGCTGTGAATAAGCATTTGACCCTTTTCAGATTTTTTTCTCTGTCTTCGTCACACTTAAATATTTCAAATAAAAAATAAATGTGTTTACCTAACACAGGTAACCTGATTCAATTCAAAATGTTTTCAATGACTTTTTTTATTTATTAAGGGGGGAAAGCTATCCAGTCTACTACGTAAAAAATTCCATGACACATAACAAACAGGATTAGAAAATAAAGATTTTAAGCCTGAATCATACTTTTCCGTGAGCTCCGCAATAGAGAGACGTACACGGAGTGTCTGAAAGGTTTTCACGTTTGAACTTCTGTTCAGGCAGCGGGGTGTTGCAAAGCAATTCCCCGCCAGGACAACAGAGGGCGCAGCGCTGTTCTGTGGTATCCTGCCATCATAACACTCATGTATCCAGTCCCTGATAGTGTATTTACTAATGTGTTGGTTTATTTCAGAGACTTTATAACACGGAAATAATTTGTCCTTCATTCTACTCCACCTCTTTATTTGGTCGCCACCTCTAAACCCACATTTTCCGTCATTTCCATCCACGTTTGCTCCGTATTTTGTGCTTATTCTCTCACGGGTGAATAAATGTTCATATCTTCTGACTTTTTCCTCGATGTGTTCTTCAGCAGCAAATCAGCCCCAAACCACCACCATGTTTGACTGTTGCTACGATGAGTTTTTATCTGAAATACATCGTTAAAGTGGTGCCCAACTTCCAGAAAGTTCCACATTTATCTCATCATCCCACGGAATATTTTCTTTAAAGTCCCATCTAATGGCTTTTAGGCAAATGATTCTCATCACTGAATCATGAACTCTGACATCGACCTAAAACAAGAGGCCTGCAGCACTTTAGATAATATTCTGGGTTCCTTTGCTTTAGAATTTGACTGTTGTTGTGATTTGTTATTTCTATAAGACTGGTAGTAATCAGAGCTTGGTGTTGATACAATTAAACACAAGGTTGACTATGGAACACAGACACTGTGGTGGACTCTGGTGTTCAGAGGTGGTGTAGCAACAACAGGACAAAGTTTCCAGCCGTCGGGATATTGGTTCACTGTTGACACATTTCAGCACCACGTTCAGAGACAAATCGTAAAGACTAATTTCTTCCAATAAGTTTATTTCAAAACAGTATTTATTGTTAAATAAATCTTCTGAGATCAGAATAAGCTGCTTGACCTGTCAAGTCGGCCATTTTACACAGTCCCAGCCTCGCCTTGCTGAGCGGGCTTTTTAGCGCAGTAGTGCCCTCTAGTGGCTGGTAGATGTAAATGTAAGCCCAGTGTCATGCCCATCGACATATATACGACATATTGTCAAGTCCGACAAAATAAAAATTGGACAATTTTTTTTCAATATAGCTTTTAAAGGAGAAACTGTACATTCATTCTGCACAGCTCCAAAGACCCCGTGGAGGTATCATTTTTTAATATAGCTTTTTATTAAAATGTTCCATATTGTAACTTTAAATAAAATTAATGTTCACTGTTAAATTGTGATTTACCAGAGGGGGTAAAGGTTGGCTAGGATAACATCTTCCCATTCATCTTTTGAAAATTCTGCCTTCCTCCTCTTCATGATGGAATTTATTTGTTTATCACAAAAGCAAAAACAAAATAGACCTGGAAAGGGTCAAACACTTTTTACTTCACAGTACGTAAGTGGTGGTCAAATGTTGTCAGACTCAAATATTATCTCCTTAACATTTAGACATTAGCCATGTGTGCTGAATGGCAGCAGTAAAAACATTCTCAGCTACTTTCAGCTGTTCGATCCCTTAAAAACTGGAGGTTGTCTCGATGGACTTTTATACACAAATACTGGAAACCACTATTCCTATCCCTGGGAGTTAAAATGACTGAACAATAGTAGATATCAGCTTTGAAAACGAAACTAATAAAAAAAAACAACAAACTATTTTAGCACAATTAAAACACGACAGCTCAGTACTTACTCAGTAACAGAGCTCATGTCTTAGACATTAGTACAGTTTGGAAATTCTCTTGTGACGATTCTCTCCATATTTCTTCCAAATCCTCCTGAAAGCATGAAAAAAAAACTTATTTATTTGACTGCTTTGACATCGCACTTTCATCACAGACGAATGCTATCTCAGATTCTGACTTTATCTGCATGGCTTTAGGGGTGATGCAACGATTGCTTCAAACAGCAACCAAACAAGTCGCTTCTAATTATTTAACTTGACTGTTTTAGTCACTAAAAAGCCGATTTTATTCATAACACAGCTGTCAATTCATCAGAATGATCTGACCATCAGAACTAATGATCTCTGATGTAAGTATGTTTGTTAGTCAATAAAAAAGCAGAATCTAAAAGATTAAACAGTGTTTTCTGAAAAAGACTAATAATCACATGGAACCAGGATAAGAAAAATAGTGTTGATAAAGGAGAAGACTGGGAAATAAATCTTTCACCTTTAATCTCACTAACAACCTTTAAAAATATCTGTTTAGAATTTTCATGACCTTTTATAAAATACACACAAATTAGTGAAGCCACCAACAAAACATGTTTATTTCTACTCTGTTGTAGATTATTTTTTCTGCTTTATCTAGTTTCAGCCAATTCCTAATAAGTTCAGCTCAATACATATAATTACCAAAAAATTAGATTGTTGTTGATTACACAAGCTAATTGCCGCCGGAGCTGCAATAACTCATTTTTGTTGCAGCTTGCAGTTACGAAGCAACACCATTATTCATTTGGAGTTATGTTGCAGCCCACAAGATGAATGTAGGTCTGATGTTCTTGGGTTTGAGTCTCTACCAGCTTCTGGTAAAAAAAAAAAAAAACACACTTTAAACTGCAGTTTCTTCACCAGCTAGCTAGTCAGCAGAAATACTTCAACCAAAGAGCTTCAAACAAGACGGATAAAGCTTGACTTTTCTGTAACAGCTTTTAAAATCTAGCAGGTTTTCCTTTTGCAGCTTGTTTAAAAAAAGAACACAACTAGTCCCAACTCCAACACCGTCATTTAACGTCTTAATTATCTTTTTACTCAACTGGGGAGCAATTTTGCAAGCAATCTGAGCAACAACTGCCTGCAAAAATGCAGCTGTATATGAAACAAATTAAATCAATATCCAATAACATAATGAGGGATATTATTAGTGCAGCAGGCAGGACAGTGACATGCAGAGATGATGATTTTATTATTCTTTTAACACGGTCGGAAAAAACAGATTCAGCTGTGCATTTGTGTCTCAGCCAAAATCTGAATCCATAAAGCTGCAAGCAATTAGACGAGTATAAATAAAACCTTTAAACATCAGGTTGTAAATTAATTTTATCTTAGCAACCAGGACCAAAATGCCCTGTGCTGTACTGATATTTTGGTAAATAAACACGTTCGAGAGCAACTAAAGAGGGAAACAGAAAATTAATTTGTTTGAGATCAGCAAGGACTTGAAAAGGTAGAAACAGCTGAGAAATGAAGAACAGCTGAAGTGCTGAGTGATCAGAAAAAGGGCCTGCAGCCCACATGTCTGTGTCGGGAGCACTGCAATGCTACTTTTGTCAAACAATTCCAACTGTGTGCAGGGACTGAGCAGTTCCCATCTAAAAGACATCACAGCGGATGTCACGCAGAGCAATCAGAGAGTTAACTTGTCACGGTGATATCGGGGTGCTGCACAGATGCTGCAGCTGGCTCTTGGTGGTGGGGGCAATTTGCAAAAAAATATGACATACTGCAGTGATAAAGTTGTTCCAGCCACTCGGACGTGCGCAGCACTTTAATGTGTGAGCGCGCTGGCCTCCCCCCTTAAAAAGGAGCCATTAAAAGGGTGAAACTGAAACAATGGTGCCACTTCAGGCTACGCTAAACACTTGTAAGGTTTATTCATATGGAAAGTGATGTATTTAGAGCAATACATTTATTAATCTGTATCAGTCTCTTACTGACAGTCATCCTTTAAATCCTTAACGGATTAATGGATCAGAGAGGTTCTGATATTAATAGTCTGTGTTTAATTTGGCTTCTATAAACTAAAAAATACACTGAATCAGAGCTGTCACACCTAGTAGTTTTGCTTGGCTACTTTTTGTTTTCACATCCAAACATATACAGTAGCTTGAGGATGTTGGTTTTTGTATTGTCACTGAGTTATTACGAGATACATTGCTTCCTTCTTACATAATTTACTTGAATTGTTTTAACTTTGAAAAAGAAGAATTGACTTTTTTTTTATTTAAAATGAACATTATAAGGAGTATTTTATCAGTGACAGCAGCAGTGACAGACTTTGTAAGTTTCACTTTCACATGTGAAACATTGCTTTTAAAGGTGCAATTAGTAAGATTTTTAGACTATAATAATCACAGTCTAATGTCTCAATCAGGCTGGAAGGAAAGCTATGTACATAGAAACAGATTTCCCTCTCAGCCGGCTAGGGGTTAACAGTTTTTCTCCTTTTAAAAAGGCCAAAGAGGAATATAGTCTTTGTTTATAATCTGGCCCGCCCTATACTTCCGGGTTCCAGAGCCAATCCTATGTGAGCCCGCAAGGTTGCAAATTCTAACACACAAACACTTGTAATTTGCAACCAGTCAATAAAAACCAGCTGCATCATGGAAACAACTTTAGCCAATAAAAGGAGCGGCCCAGAAGAGATTATAAGAAGCCATGACTTTTTTTAGTGAATAAGAAAAAAGTAGTCGGCTGTAAAAAGATCTGTAAAAAACTGTAGCTACAAAACAGGTAAACAAAACTGTTTCTGTGTTTAAAAAAGAACGAAAGCATGGAATGTAAAAAGATCTCAAGATATTTTTTTCAATTATCAACAACTTGATTTTACATTTAAATGTATTATTCTACTTATCGATTTAGTATGTGACTTGTCTTCACTCACCATGTAGAAACTTCTGTCACTGATTCTTAACTGGCAACAGCCATGAAACTCACGAACGGCAGGAGTGAAGGGGGTTGTTTTGTAGTACCCAACTTTGACCACAGGATGTCATTCTTACTTCATGCACCTCTAAATCCTAGTTTATAGTTCGTAAGCAAGTTTGCACACACACACACACACACACACACACACACACACACACACACACACACACACACACACACACACACACACACACACACACACACACACGCACACGCACACGCACACACACACACACACACACACGCACACATGCACGTGCACGCACACACACACACGCACTGACGGAGAAGTTTTTCTTTCAGACTTCTTCGTACGTGTGTTGGTGTTGTGAAGCAATTCTCCACGAGGACAGCAGAGGGTGTTGTACTTTTCTGGTGTGTCCTGCTACCATTGCAGTTATGTCAGATGAATTTGTAACTCATTTTCCTTCACCTCGTCACACAGATACCAAACCCACCCAAACTCATTTTTCCTGACACAAATAAAAACTCTACTGCGTGTCTTTGAACTCCTTCAGTCACCGTTGTATTAACATTTAAATCGTCTGCATGTTTCCACAAGGCTGCTCTGTGTCTGTCGCTAGATATTTCATCGGCTCTCGTTTTATTATTTTTGAGCGGGGATAACGGTGCTGTTGACGAAGTTAAAGGAAGCAGCATCCTGACCAATCGCAGGCTTGAGCTCTCCGACCTTGCAACCCTGTTGGAGAACCCTTGCGACCACAGATAATGACGTTGCGTGACTCCACAGATAAGAAGTATAATCTAGGCCTAAATATTGCAAAACTATTTAGTGTAAAACCTGTTTGTATTTCTTCCATTTGTCAAGTACAGTAAGTCAGATATTAACTGCAAAGAAGAAGAACTACCTCTGCTTCTGCCCTCCAGCTCCTTTTCCATGAATTCTTTCTGAGATGGAAACTCGCTGAGTTTGACCTTGGACATGGCATCGTTCTGACCCACTGTGCTCATCACCTCTGGATCCTTCTCGTGGCGATCCTCTGTCTGAACATGAATCCATGGGATTTTTCTTTTGGTGCATCAACAAGAAACAAAAACAAAAACAAAGAGCATTATTTTCTTTCTGAATTCACAGATTAAAAAAACCTCTTGTGAGTGGACGTACCTTTTGAATTTGTAGATAAAAAATGCAGCTAAACCAACGAATACGACGCTGAGCAGCATGAGCATGGCCGACCCACTATGGATGGTATTTGAATCCACAAGTGGAGCTGAAAAAAGTACATTTTGATTAAGACGTATTCATAAAACCTGTTCTCTTTTTCCCAATCTATGCCTTGTTCCTTGCCCCACGTCATGTACCAACTGCAGCTACAGTTTAAAGCACTGTACTTTGTGTGTAATCCCCTGAGGGCTTTCAAAGGAACCGTTAGGATGTCCACCGCGTCTCCCTGGGATCTGTCACAAGGCAGCAGCTTATGCATGCTGAGAAGCAATATTCAAAGTGTTTCCCCTCACCACCCATCTTTTTCTCCCTCAGAGAGACACCTATGAAGTGTATGACCTTTCTGGATCTTTTTAAAGGCAACCCAGACCTTTGTAGGCAGACACAAATGAAGACAGATCCATTGGTGGATGAAAAGGGTAAAGCCACGCGGAGCTGATCGACACATTTTAGCAATATGCTAATGACCAGGTTACCCTGCAGATTTCCTCAAAGCATACCAAGTGCCTTCTTTGTCAATCACTCTCATCGATTGGCTGATTTCAAACAGAGCTACTGTACCTCAGCCTCGGGTCAAAATTTAACATTGAAGATAATTTTAGTCCTGCAATGCCATATGTAGTTTTCTGCAGTGGTTAAAAACACACAAGTGAGCTTTTTCCATACATGCAAGCAGAAAAAATCGTGCTGCAGAAATGTAGAAATGCAGTAATGTATTAAATTTCACCATCATTTGAAGCATTTGTTTAATGCACCTGCACATGCAACACCTGCAGTGGTGGGTGGACACAATAAGCTAATGTCCCAGAAACACTTACCCAAAGTTTGCTGAGTCATGTACACGATAATGCGAGTATTAGCTTTCAGCTCAAACTGGATCCGGCCTTGGTTCAGGGCACTGGCAAAAATATCTGATATCTGTTTAAAAGACGCGCACGCACACACGCACACACGCACACACACACACACACACACACACACACACACACACACACACACACACACACACACACACACACACACACACACACACACACACACACACACACACTTGTCAGATATATTTTTAATAACTCAAATTAGTTAGTATTCATTAGAATGATTCAGTGATTTGTGTTTGTAACACAGATGCATAAGTCCATCCACACCAAGCATAACACATAAGGCCGGTCGTAAATAACTTCCTTTTACCTTGTGATGAGTTTGTGCAACAACTCTAACGACAATGACAGCAGCAAACAATAAAAACAGTGTCAGCAAATCCAAAATACAGCAGGAATCGCTGCCTCGCCTCTGTGATGTTCAAATTGGACATGTTTCATGGTGGGCTTCACACTGCTCTCTTATTATCACCTGCATTATGTGGATCAAAGCTAAACCATGAACCCCACTTTATTAGTGTTACATTTACACTGTTGTTGCCTCTTTTTGTGAGTTAATTAATGGTGTTAAAAAACACTCATTCTTGATGGGCTTTCAGTATATCAGCATTCACTTAATATGATATTAGGTAGAACAAACCACAGAAACCAAAATATACACAACCAAGTAGTTTTCCGGTTACGGATCTGATTGGAAAAAAAATTACATCCGAGGAGAAAAAAGGAACAAAAACAAAACAAAACAAAACAAAAATCAAGCAATTAAAACTACTGATTTCCACAAAATGTGTAAACATCCATGCCTGTAACCAACAGTGTAGCTTTTCTCATTTCTCCTAGCAGATAACTTTTATCTGGTGGTGGTCAGAGGGTCCGGTGGCGCCTGTGCTCGGGAGCCTCGCCTCTCATCTCCACCAGTGTATGAATGTGTGTGTGAATGGATGAATGATACACTGTAGTGTAAAGCGCTTTGGAGTCCTTACTCTGAGAGGCGCCATACAAGTGCAGGTCATTATCATTTTATCCTTAGCTGCATTAAAAATGTCCCTCTCTTGAAAGCAGTATGTATGCCAGATAACTACTGAATGTTGCAATTTAGCATCAATTTCTCATGAGATCTCAATCAGAGGGATTTTTCATCTTGTGCATGTTCACATTTTCAGTAAAAGCAGAATGGCTCTCCTCACTGAACGAGCTCCGCTTCCATTGGTGAGTTCAGCAAGACTTGGAAAGTTCCGGCCTATCATTTTACATAAATACAGTATTGTCTGAGTGCAAAAATCACAATGCAAGAAATTATAGCATGAATCAATCAATCAGTCAAAGATACTTTATTAATCCCAGAGGGAAATTAGAGTTTCAGTACACACAATTCAAAGATCAGACATACGTGGGCAAAACACATGACAAGAATTGGTGACTGTGGTCATTCGCAACCCTGAGTCGCGCTACCTTAATAGAGATCAGAGGGTTACATGAGGATTGGTTCAGATGGAGGGGGAAAAAGGCACTTCAGAGTTACCCTCCACCGGGAGGGCAGCTTTGCTCTGCAAAAAAACACCTCAGACAGATATGCAACAGACTTCAGACAACACACAACATAAGTGTCCACTAGGTGGGGTTGTGGGTTGGGACTATCCCAACTTCAGTTCCTGCAGCCACGATAAGCAGCGCATGTCACCTCAGTGTGGATAGGTGGAGGAGCATTGAGGGTTGGAGGGTTGCAGTGACCCTGGAACGTTTCAGCGGCCTTCTCGCAGTCCCGCCCAGGCTGGCAAAGGAGACAGAGTTGAGTTGCCATAGCGACGGCACATTCCACATATCTTCTGAGGGGGGAGTTTTCTTTGGAGCCTTGCAGGCTCAAGGATGCCAGATTACGATTAGAAATTGTTTCGGGGCCAGACAGAGATTATTTCCTTTCTGTCTTACAGTTTGTTGGTCCTCAAGCTCTCGAAATCCCAATAATGGACATTAATCTATCCCAATCCGTGCTGACTCGTCCACTCTCTCCTTGATGGCATCCATTTTTTGTGCCAAAGAATGAATCTCGGCCAAAGTTCCAAGCTTACGATTCATCTTGACAATTATGTGAGTCTGTGAATTCGCAGCGTGGTGCAAACCATCTCTGAGCTCCGGGATTAGGCCAATATTCCCCGACAGCTCAGTAATTTTCCGGTAAGCCAGGAAGCCAAAGCCAATGAGCAGGAAACCTGACACCAACACCACAAATATCCACACGTCTTCAGAGTCTTCCACAGACAGCTGAGAGAAACAAATCAAGTTCCACTGTTTCCAGGAGTCCATGATGTGTCCAACTGGGTCCGTCCAAGCGGGGCATCCGGGAGCCCTTTCTCCCCTTCTCATCGTTGAAAAAATTTTATCAGTCGCATTGAGAGACCAACTGACGAGATCCATTTTAGTGAATTTCAGTTTCCAGTTTCCAGAAAAAATGCAGAAGCAGCCGTGCACCCAGCACACAGAGACAGACAAAGGGCATTGAGGATAAGATATGGAGCAGAGGAGGAAAAAAGCGTCTGCACCCTCCAAGAGCCGGAAGAAGAATCTAGCCTAAAAATCAAGACGAAATGCAGCAGCGGCAACATATTTTGCTTTGCAGAGCAGTCCAGCCAAGCTCTATTGTAGCTTCAGCAGGTCTCCCATTGGCTCACACATTTGTAGGTCCAGGCAATCACAGTGCTCTGTTTGTAGAGAGACATTAGGCGGGCTTAGCACCAGAGCTGCGATGGAGAACTACAATGATGGTGTCGGCTCAAGAACGGTGCTCGTTTGAAACAGCATTGGGTGATTGAAGCCTAGGGCACACCGGAGGTAGACGCGTCGTGTCGCGCCCACGCCGTCATTTTAAATAGAAGCCATTATAGTTAATGAGAGTGGCTAGACACCACAGTGCCGTGGCTGTTTACGTTGTGGAGGGCTTTACTACAAACATTACGACGTGGAACGACTTCACGGCACAAACCCAGCCACAGTTTTGATACCATTGATCTTTAAATATTCTAATAATTAGCATATTTACCCATTTATTATGAATTAGAATCTGACAAAACACGACGGTAAGTCTGATCAGGTATAAACAATAGAGTAACTTCCTACGTTATGTTGTGACTATCACGCGACTTTCCAAGAAGCCCTCAGCGGGGAGTCCTTTGTGACCACTTGACTCCTTAAAACTGCGGGCGCAGCAGCGCATCTGTCTCCGGTGTGCCTCCCAGCTTTAGACTTGGGCTTTTCTTTGGAACATGAGGGATAGAGCGTCGTCTTCATCTTCTTCTTCATCTTCTTCTGAGTTCTGGTTTTGAAAGACAATCGTAGATTCTCTTCCGCGATCGAACTCTGTCTTTGTGTTGTTGCCAGACTTTACATTTACCTGTATAGGATGGTGTGCCAGGCTAGCATGGAGCTACAACAACTAGTAGAATAAGGTATTTAACTGCCTTTTTTTCTGTTTAGTTGCCTAATTTTCATTGTGCCATGCAAAAATGAAGATTGTAAACATGTTAGCATATCGTGGCTCTTACCATGTCCAGTGCTTCTTCACTGTTTTTCTTGTGTTCACTTGAGGTGCGCTCATCAGGCAGGATAAAGAGCTCAGCGGTGGTTGGGAGTCCCGGGTACATGGACACCATCAGCTGATCTTCAGGAACGTCAGACACCTGCATTGATCCAACAACACAACCAAAGCAAAAGCTAAAGCTTGAAACCCATTTTCCATAAAAAAAATACTAACATAAATTTGAAAATACAGTAAACCGCACTTGTACAGTCACTACAGATAACGTTTCAGATAGGACCATGTCAGAACATGACTGCTGCTTTGTAATTCCACAGATATAAAATAATAATGACCCTGGGAGCCACTGGAGTCTGACGTTATTCCCAGGAAAGATCTGCTGGGACTTGACGTACCTTTGACAGAGCTGTCCGCACCACACGGCCTATGTCCTCCCTCCACTCTGGGATGTCAGGATTGTGCTCATCAAGAGTCGGCGAAAACGACAACAGCAGTGACCTGAAGAACTCTAGGAAAAACAGAAGTAATGTCTATTCGAATATGAACGCTACTTCTGGTTTAGCTTCTGATTAATCTGATGTGCAGTTGTGTCTTTTTTCATTTGGGAGCATACGCCTTGAAGTTAATTGGTCCTCCGGCGTTTGTGTTCGCACACCGTGACATTTTATTCATTAGATAGGTCCACATGAACATACACGACAAAGTCTGCAGCGCTGACCGAGAGACGTTACCCCCCCCCCCCCCCCATCCAATTCTATATTACATATCCATGTAGAATAAATACTTTGAAGTGTGTATATTTCACTCACCTTTAACAGTGATAACTTTGGAGTCCTGCATGACGATGCTTCCACAAGCAACTTGGACTGTGACCTTGTTTTTCCCCTCTCTGTGAAACATGTGGGAGATGCTTCCTTCCAGAGTAATAATGGGCTGAATTTCAAAAGGAGAAAAAACACTGAGAATTGCTGAATAAATACTACCTATATGCAGCCCTTGACTTGCTGTATAATGAGGATTGTTTCAGTGAATGCAATCAGCATGTTAAGCAAATACGACGACCCATCAGGGCAGAATCTCTCATGTGTGATCTGGTTTTACGTGAGTTGTGCCAAAACTCTGCAGATTTCCACTTTTAAATTGTAAACAACAGAGCAAGGATATGGTAGGGGGAGTGAGAGCGGTGACGGTAAACAAGACTAAAATGTTTGCTGCAACAGTCAGTGGGAGGAGGAGAAGACTCTCACCTCGGAGCTGTTGTCAAACCACCAGAAGAAGGTCAGAGTTCTGGTGTGGCTCGGCCAAACGACTGCGGTCAGATTAGCCGCTTTCCCACTGACGGCCACAATGGGAGCAGAGAGGTATACTCGCTCCACTGGACCTGAGGGGAAAACACACAAACACTGGCCAATTTCTTTCCATGCATGGAACACAAGGAGAAAACCTCTATGTGATCAGAGGTGATGCACATTCAGCTGCAGGAAGTTTGTCCAAGAGTAGAATTAAAACAAACAAAAAAAACATGAGTGACATGAAACTCAGCAGCGAAGAGTTGTAACTGACTATCTACGAGAGAGAGAACGTTCAAGTTGCATGCACCGCTGCAGGGATGAGTAATGATGTTACTTATTCACATACTGGTGATGTGTAAGAAGAGCGTGCTGCTGTCAGATCCCTGGTTGTTTTCCGCAGAGGCTGTCACTCGGTAAATCCCAGTCATCCTGTAGATGTGCTTGATGCCGTCATCGGTCCTGCTCAGGTTGGAGTATGTGATCTTGATGCCGTCCCCGAAGTCTAGTTGGATGCTGGTGCTCGGCGAGTCTCCCTGCAGACACAGTGGTATAACACAGCATCTGTCATCTCGGCTTAGGCCGGGACACTTCAGTTAGGCCACATGAAAACTGGAGAAAGCTCAGCGCTCAGCTTAAGTGCAGGGGCTCACATGTCCTTTGAGTTGTGTCACTAACATTTTGTAGGTAAATGTGAATAAAAGCTGACAGAAATTCAACCGAGAGAACATGAGGGAAAGTGGGAAAAGGGTCCAGAAAAGGCAAAAAGGTCATCAAGTATGGAAAAGTAAGACGTCTATAAACTTTTTTTTCTCATTAGATGAAGTCATCATTTGTGCAATGCATCAAAATAAAAACTAATGATAAAATTTTTCAATTTAATGTCTTCAAAGTGATTCTTAAAGCTCTCATTTACACATTTTTTTCCAATACATTTGCTGCGGTCTCTAGTATGAGTCATTGTTCTTTGTGGAAACAAAGCTCTGATGCTCCTGTGTCAGGAAGTAGAAAGCAGGAGTCGGAGGCAGAAAAAGGCAGGATTCGGTGTCTTGCTCATAATTATTCATGATATCCAGACATCTTGCATCTTATTGGCTAACAGCAACGCAACTCATCCACTGTCTCCATTTTCTCTGCAATGCTGATATTTAGTGTCCATAAATAACGAAACCTGAAGGCGTTCTGCTTTGTTGTGGAGTCGCTAATGCTACAGGGGTGCCCAATCTGGGTCCTCAAGATCCCCAATCCAGCTTGTTTTATATCTTACCCTGCTGATTCAGTGGCTGACTCACCTGTTCAACAGCTCCTCGGGCTCTGCAGAACACTACTAATCACCACTGATTCAAGTCAGGTGTGTTGAAACAGGAAAGCTTCTAAGACATGCTGGTTAGGGGATCTCGAGGACCAAGATTGTGCACGCTGTGCTAACGGTTAGCTTCTGCACGCCGAGACGTGCTCTGCTCTCTCCTTGGACGCAAAATCATCGACAGCCTTCTCCATTGTGAGCCAAGATGGGCGAGTCCACGAGTGTTAAGTGACAGTGTGATGAAGATCTGAGTGTAGTGTTGGGAAAGTTTGTTTCAGTTCAGCTCGTAGTTCATTATTACATTTTTCATAGTTCCAAAAATTAACTAGTTCATAGTTATTTTGCAACACTACAACAAGGATCCCTTGATTAGTGTTACTTAGTGCATTATTAAGCATTGATAAACAATTAAAGTTTTAGACCACAGGTCCTTTGTCCTAACCTTAAGGACACTTAATAGTTAACAATATTAGGAATGTTATTAAAATATCTTTTGTTTATTAATGCTTAATAATGCACTAAGTACCATTAAAAAGGTGACCCTTATTGCAAAGAATTAATAGTTCTTTTTTTAGTATGTTGCATTGAGCTAGGCATTTTCAAATCATTACAACGTGTTCAGTCCTCGCTCGCACCCTGCTGCAGATGCTACCCCTTCAGTATCCTCAAAAACATGATGAACAGTCAGTGTTTGTGTTTTAAATGAGGAATTATTAAAACAAAACAGGTTGATGTAGAACACAAGGATGCACCTCAAAGTGCAAAACATTAAAATATGTAATTATCTTTGAGTTAAGTCTCTTTTTTTTTTCAAATTTGCGGGGTCTACTCTTTACAACTTCTATGGTGAACAGGATGCCACGGCTTTAGATCCATGGAAATCTGGAGTTCTCGAACGGCGAGAGAGAGCAACGTTCCTAAACACGGTCACACAACATATATGAGTTTGTGCCTTTTATATTAGAGGTTAAAACTTAAAATAGTCAGAAAACTGTCACAAAGCTGAGGAGTCTGGGTAGTGACTAACATAATCGAGGCGGATCATGAACGTGACATTGCTTTGGACGGTGGCGCTCAGCTCTCCATTTCCCGTGGTCAGCTGGAGGCCTCGAGGAGCTCGGGGATGACACGCCACCCTCTTAGGTGAGAAGAAGTTCCTCCCTCTCTCCTTGCAGTTATTGGACAGAACCTTCCGGTACCTTAAAGCATTAAACAGAAAGTAACATTGCAGAACATGATTTCTTTTATTCAACTCAACAAAATGTAAAAGCGGACACACTGAATACATTCTATATCATAACCTTGCTCTCTCGTATTAAAAGGAAAAGAGACACAGTGAGACACTTTTTTTGAGCCCACAAAGCAGTAAACAATAATTTTCCTTTTTTTTATGCCAGACAGCTTGTCAAACAAGGTGAGACAGAAAAACATGTTTTTTTTTTTTTTTTTTTTTTTTTTTCCAGGGACTGAGCATTGGATCCCACTTACCCAGTGCTGTTAAGAAAGCTTTGGCTGGAGCTGCAGCTTTTAGCCGCACCATTTGGATTAAACCAAAAAGCGGGAGAGCACTTCCCATCCGTTTGGCGTTCCCACCCATAATCACTGCCAAAGGAAATCAGAAAAAAGGAAAAGCACAACATTTCACGAAATGATAACTATTACTACTCAAAATAATCCACAAGCTTTTGTAGTCGGGCAGACGCTCCGCAGTCAGAGCTTCGTGGAATATTTTAAGACCATACATAGAGACATGATTGTCAGACAAGCAAGATCAAAGAGAATTTCAGATAGATGGATAAAATATATTTAAAATTAATTTAATGATTAATTATGAATTTAATTATAATAAGTCACTTGACATCATGCAAATCACAGAGGCATTATGAAAAGTTTTGAACTCCCTGCTACATTTTGCTATAATTGGAGTCACGTTGCAGAGAAACTGTCATTTAAAATTGACAATGAAAATACCGAACTTTGGCAAGCTGATACTTAATTAAGTCAGCTTGTTAGCGTTTATAATAGAGTTAAATGCTCAAAGTAGAGCAACTGCTTGGAAAAAGAAGTTTTGCCCAGAAACAATAAGACTAGAAAATATCACCATTCAAAATCATAGGCTGTGCAGAGACATGGCTCTGAGGAGTAGATCCTGGAGTAGTCTTGGGCCAGCATGCAACGGTTGCCAGGCCTTCGCTTCATATAGACCTGCTTTTCACCCATCACACAGAGCTCTCCCTGTCAGACAAAGAGAGTTTTTCACAAACTTGGCACAAACTCCGGAAAAATAATTTCTAATTTTAATGCATTTTTGCTAAAGAAACAGCATACTAATTTTACGTTAGCATGCATTTATTTAATATACACCTTGTTGTGTAAAAGCCACGTCTGATAATCCCCATCCATGCATCGCCTGCTAAAAAGACCCGTGTAGTCAATCTTGATCAGTTGCCACTCAGATCGATGGCTAAAGTGTCCAAAAAAGCTGCAAAATGACAAAAGAACCATAAAAAAACAGACCATGGTGACGTGCAGCTCTTTGGTTTGATTTGCAACATATTTAGTATTGAAGATCCATCACAAACACAAGTCTGCAAAACAATGAAACCATCAGCTGCCATATCTTTCAGTGCAGTGATGTGCCAGCCTTTGTCTAGATGTTATTCACCTAGAAAATCCATAGAGTTCAATCCGATCACACGTCCCCACAAACGACAGGATTAAAACATGACTGTGCAGCTTATCTCCAGAGATCTAAAGTCCACGTCCAAGCAGATCAAAGCTGTTGAAAGCAGAACTACGCAAGTAGTTTTATTGTTGTGGCTGATCAAAATAGTATTTCTAGTTGGAGCTTTCTTCGTTTGCACCTCGATGAGTGCTGCTTGTTGAGGCCGGATATCCTCCTGGGCTGTAACTGGGCATCTTCACTTACGTGATAATGTGATTGTCAGACTCTGGCTCCATTAAAACTCCGTCCACATACAAAGGTGCCAAGGAGAAACTGTGGCGATCCCATTTCTTCCCCTCATCCAGACTGATCCTGCAGGCAAAAATACAACAGCTGCCTTCGTGTTTATCCATCAGCAGAAAAAAAAATCAGTTTTCACTAAGCTTACAGCATTAAACGTTGCATGCACACAGTGGGACGGCAGGTAAAGGGAAATATGCAAAATAATTTTAGGTCATTTGACAATTGCCCTGTTTGCCGGATTCTCTTTGTCTGAAAAATTATCCCGACAGCAGGCTGAACAAAAGGAGCACCTGTTCCACGGCCCCAGTACAGTTTTTGAAGGTGACAGAACATCAGAAGGAAAGGTGTGACTCGGGTTCTAACATTAGAAACATATTTGGGGGGTTTCAAATCACCTTTTCTGTGAGCTTGATCACTTTTGACAGGGTTGTAGTGTGCAGGGACATCAAAGTAGATAGTGTTACTAAGCTCCCACAATGAGGGACTTATGAGGGCATTCTGAGTCTCATATTTCCATCCCGCTCTGCCTCTCATTTACATAAAAGCACTCAAACCTTCATATCCAACCAAGAGTACAAAGCGGCAACACGCTCTCCTCTGTTGAAAATGACAGTTCTGAAGCCACCGTGCCGATGCAATAATCACATAAACTTGGCCCATCAGCATTTCAAAACATTAAATGTAATCACATGCTGCACCCCACCTCCCAAATGAAATTACATCCAGGTAATTTTCCACTCCATCTCCAACACCTACAGTTCCAACCTTCAGTGGGCTTCCTTTTTTCTTTTTTGGTGAGGTTTCACGACAAGCCGGACGTACCACAGATGTCGAATCGGGGTGGCCGCATGTAAGACTCCGAGCAAAGCTCCACCGTTGTCCAGAAACCAAATGTTGTACTCTTCATCAAAAATCTGCATTGTGGGAAAAAATAATGTTCTTCTCAGTAATTTGAATGTCTGATTTGTGAGCATTGTGCGTTTAAGAAACAGATGGCTCTTACCTGTCTCCAACTATTTCCTGCATCAGATGTTATGAACATCCCAAGGTTGGAGGAGGACAGCTCTATGCCGATATTCCCTGAGTGCAATAACACTTTTAACTTGCGTGCATATTTACACAGAAAAATACCAAATATCACACTTTCTGTGTATGCACAATCAGCTGGAAAAAAATATCATCAATAAATAAATGGGTGCCTGTCCTCATTTTCCAGCGAAGGACAACTTTTATGGCTTACTGCAGCCTAATCATTTCACCCAACAACACGAAATTCAGAAGCTGAAGTTTCTGCATTTGATTTCAGTGACAGAAAGAGGACAACATGCCATTTAGTTTGAGCGCTTTGCACTGCTGCAATGCATCCACCTGAGAAACAAGAGGCGTCCGTAGTCTGTCGGCTTCAAATGCACGTCTTTAAAGTAACCGTACCTGTTCCCACGATGATTCCCGGTACAGACTTTTTGCTGGTGATGGGTCCAGATGTGTAGGGATTCTCTGACATCTCCAGATGAAGATGCAGCGAGCAAAATGGCTGTCAACAGCACAAGAAGAAGCAAGGTGCATCAAGATTTGAATAAAAGGAAGCTGCAATTAGCGCTCTTTTCTTTCTATTCTTCCCAGCGATTGGAAACTGCCAACATTTTCAGAGGCTGTTCCTGCAACAAAGATGCTTTGATCCTCTCATCTCCTCTGTTAGTAAAACAGGAAATAGCTGAGAGGACACGGAGGGCATTTGAATTGTTATATTCCAAAGCAAACAAGGCATGTAATTAAAATTCCCCAAGATGCACTGATAAAACTGGCGAAATTGATTCAAATCATTTCACTCATCTTCCTGACTGAGGCAAACTGAAATACATCAATAGAGCTATACAAAGAGCCAACGCTGGAGGGGGGTGGGGGTCGGGAAGCAGACGGGAGCAAAGTGGTCATTTTTTTACAGCACATCCAAAGACTGTAACCTGCTATTATCTGAATAATACACATTTTGTGTCCCTAAAGGACGCACTGGCTGGATTAGGGTTCAATCATACAGGCTGAATAACAACACGGACCTTAATGTAATTCTCTGTCATCTAACATTCATTAGTCCAACGTGACTTCAGGTAGTAAATTGAAATCACAGAGGTTAATGGAAAGTCAGGACCCCTGAACCTCAACGCGATGACACTCCGTGCCTTACACTGATAATAAGAATATTCCAGCCAAGCATCTCTTCGACCATTTAGGAGCCAAAAAAAAAAAAATAAGCACCTGTTGATGAAGCTGGCACCTGGCCTTCTGCAAATATGGCTCTGAACCCAAAAACATCACATGCAAAGCTGATGAGATTGAAACATTTGATGAATGAGCATAATTTTGCATGAATGAAAACATCCATTCACTTTTGACAAAAGCTCACCAGAATGCAGTGAAGGTTATTTCCCACAACATCAGTGGCAGGAGCTGGCAGCAGAGCCCATGTTTGTCCCTTGTTGTATGTGATGAAAGTCTTAATGTGACCATCCACCAGTTTGTTGGCAAGATACATGCCGTTTATCCCCTCAACCTATCAACAAAAACAGGAAAAACAAACTGATGTCAGGAGGGCAAAAATGCTAAAAAGTGTTCTGATTAATAAACCCAAAGGCTCATTATCAGCTAAATTTGCTCCACAAATCAAGCTATTGTAAATATAGGTGCAATAAATGATCAAATATTACAGTTGGCACCACTGAGATGTCATTTATCTTAAATACGATTTATTTACGCCAGCCTGAATTCATACCTGGAAATAAAGCGGTGTGTTTCAGTGAAACTCCGCCCACTCCCGCTCTGACAAAACGTGTCGACAACAGCGTCTAAGACAGGTCAGTTGCTGTATAGGCAGTGGTAGTCTAGTGGTTAAGGCATCTACACTCTAACCACTGGACTACCAAGTCTGTCACATGACAATAATCACCTAACACATGTTTCCTGTGCTGACTGTTGGAGACAGGTTTCACACCTGAGACTAGCTTCCAGGGGAGGAGCAGGGCCTGATGATGAGACTAGCTTAGGCTGTACGGGATTTTCAAAGTAAAACTCAAAATGTGTAGCTTCTACAGGAAAATGCATGAATGAAAGGGGGTTTCCATGATAGGGCCCCCTTAAAAAAGTTGTCTTATATATTTGGCAAATAAATTGTGGGAAATAGCTAGACACTGAAAACCTGTGTTAGAAAACACAGAAAACAAAGACTTGTAAATAGTAAATGGAAACACTTAGGTATATTTAATCAAAAGGAGTAAACTGATGTATTTGATTACTGTTGTAAGTGAAGGAGAAATGAATGGTACCAAAACAGCAGCAGTCCTTGAACAAAGCTGACAACAAACCTTATAAAAGTCAACCAGTAGGTTACCAGCGGACCCTCTGCTGGTTCTCAGATTCTCTAATGAAAGGATAAAGTAGACCCCGGGGGAGTCTGAGATATACAGACTGTACGTGTTGTTCTGATTCCACTCTTGGACTGCAGCAAAAACCTGCTTCTCATCTGTGCTGATAATATGCATGTCCTGTAAAATGGGAAAAACAGACAGATGGAAAGAGAAAATAATGACAGCTGATGAGGAAACAGATGAGAGACTCAATGGAAAAGTCAGCTGCTCTTTTTGTTTTACAGCATTTCCTGACAAATCCTTTGTGTGGCTTGTCCTCTACGAGAAAAGACAAAAACACATCATGAAGTTATTGCTGCTTACCTTTGGCAGACAGTATTTTGGTAGCTCCATCTGCCTGAAGGGCTCTCTCATGTAGGATACAAAGTAGCTGGTTCGTCCTGACTTGGTTACCTGAGAACAAAGTAAAATAGAGCTTTTGTGATGATCAAATCGCTCTGTGTAGAAACTTTATGAGGAATGTATTTTTAAAGGCGCATGAAATAAGAAAGACATCCTCTGGTCAAATTTGGGTACTGCAGTCCATGTATCAAAACAAACGAGTCCACTCTGAGCAGCTGTTGCTAGTTACGGATCAGCACCAGAACATTCTAGATGACGAGTGAAGATGAGTCATGCGTGGTAAGTTGATAGGTAGATAGGGGCAGCAATAGCTCAGGAGGTAGAGCAGGTTGTCCAGTAATCTGAAGGTTGTCAGTTCAGTCCCGGCTCCCGCCACAGAACGCTGCTGTTGTGTCTTTGGGCAAGACACCTAACCTGCCTTGCTCGCTGGCAGTGGTCGGAGGGATCAGTGGCACCAGCGTTTGACAGTCTGTGTCCGGCAGCACACCCTAGAGTAGCTGTGGCTACATTGTAGCTCATCACCATCAGTGTGTGAATGGGTGGATCACTGATGGATTTGTGAAGCGTCTTGGGGGGCTGTAGAACCCTTACGAAGGTGCTGTACAAATACAGGCCATTTATTCTCTGTAATATCGAGTTGTTGGTAATTGAAAAAGTAACTTGAGATATTTTTATAGCTGACTATTTTTTCTAATTCACTGTTGGCATTGCTAGCTAAAAGTTAGCCTCTAGCCTTCTTTGCCTGGTATTTGAGTAAAACAACAACAGTTCTTAAGTTTACAAGAAATTACATCTGGGCCACACCTTTCACTTGCTAAGGCGTGATTCACATGTCTCCGTCAGCTCAAGTGCGGAGTCGCATATACGCATTGATGGAGACGTTTTCCCTTCGGACTTCTCCGTCACCTAGGGAGTGTTGCAAAGCAAGTCCTCGTCAGGACAACAGAGCGCAAAGTGATTTTCTGTGGCTCTCCTGCCACCATTGCAGTCACGTCTCCAGTATATTTTTATTAGCACAATTTAGACACAATATTGTGCAAAATCTGGAAAAGTAAAGCAACAACCAAATAAAATGTAACACCAATAATCAAGGTTTAGGTATCAAAGTGCTATAAATAACCAGCTAACAGTAAGACGCAAAAGTGTACAAAGTTTGAGAAAATAAATTTGTGATGTTATTCATAGTGAGATTCATTCCAGGAAACAGAAAACCAACCAGTTTATTAAAGCAGATCTCATCTGAAAGCCACAGAGGCCATAAATGCTGGCCCAAAATTGGTTTTTGGACCACATCATCCATTTCTTGCTCCAACTCTTTGGCTGGAAATGGTGCACCTGCAAACTGTTTTTCTCTATTGACTTCTGAATACATCTACCCCAAATGGGACTGTTTCAATTTAGGTACATTTTCACAATCCAGTCTTTTATTCAAAATGCCAATGTCATCAATCAGGAACCACAGGTGCACTGGTTGGAAAATGCCCTTGAAGAGCACAACCCAGTTTAATTTGTACTTTTGTACAATTCTGGATCAACCCACAAACGCTTTTTCTAATGAAACATAGTTCAAAGAGTCTGGATGACAAAATAAGTTGCCTTCATGTTGTAGGCAAATTTACAACTAATAAGACTTCCTAATTGTATAACAAGTTGGATAATTGTTTGAAAATCCAAACGTGCGTGATCGTTTCACACAGTAATGAATAAGAATTATTAATTATCTGGGCTGTAACTCAGTTGTAAAATGAAACATCTCCTAAAGGAATCAAGTGAATTCACAATGCTTTACAGGCTTGATAAAACAGCAGCAGCTGTAGTCTGCTTTTCAGCGTTGAAGGCTAAATGAAATTACGAGCAAAACAGAAAATAATATTACTGCCCTGATTAGTCCAAAGCCAGAAGCCTCTGAAAATCATGTTGTCCTTATCTATTATGCATCTTGAAGATCTTAATGCACTACCACCATCCCGTCCACTTACAGGCAGGGCAACAGTGCTTGATTGCTTATTTTCTAATCAACTAGAAAGATGGTGTTTGTCCCCGAACACACTACATTAGGGCTCTAATGGAATAATCTATCGAAAATCAATGAGCTGCATTTTCCCAGGCCACATTTTTGAGGATGTTGCACTTGGCTGTTCCTACTCTCCCAAGAGACTTTGGGGGTGTTGAAGACTGCTTATTTCGTTGTAGCCCAATCGATAACCTCATTACTCTTTGTCAAGTTAAATCCAACTGCCCTGAGCAATGAAAGTCACAAGAAAGTCATCTGTGCCACCGCAGCTCTGAGCAGACACGCTCTGTGTGACTGTTCACTTATATTCACCAGCTCTCATGTCTGCCTCTGTCACAGTGGCTGATCTCATCTCCGCCAAATGCAGTAGAAACTTTCCAGAAAGATTTAATTTGGCCATAAAATTCCACTAAGATGGCTTAAAGTGAACCTGGGCCACCGTTAAAGCAACATTAGCTCAGAACTAGGGATATCCCGATCAGCATTTTAGGCTTCCGATCCCGATCCTTTAACTTCAAATCCGATCCAGTTTTGATTCCCGATCCGATAGTTTGCCTTTACTATTGAAATTTATAAAGCTGAAATATATTTTTAGCAAGTAACTCAGGTTAATTTTCTAAAACTAATTTCATTAATAATTACCATTTTTGTTGTAAATCCCATGAAATCTAAGCCTTACAGAGAAAGGCCAGCTTAACTTTAATATTTTGGACAAAAGTAATGAACTAACGAATTTGCGGCAGGCTATACGCTGGAGTGCTCAATGGTGCCCTCTACTGTCATGGGACCAGAATCAAGCTTTATTTTTGAGTAAAGACCAGAGTGGCATGGGAATGTATAGTGCCATCAATATACCCTGCGCACGAAAATGAGAAAACTTCCTGTTTTGAGACTGAATGTAGTGTTATATTTCTGGTAGCTTTACTTTGCGGTGAATTCCTATTGTGAAGATGGACTCCAAAGTACGAAAAGGAAAGATCGCATTCGGTTACAAAGAGCCCATGATAACAGCAGCTCTCACTTCGTTATTCACTTTGTATTCTTTGCTCTTTCTTCTGTGTGTGTTTTCAATGCCCTTAAGGTGGACGCAGGTAACGCTAGCTCTCTTACTGCAGCTCACTTCTCCACGGGAAAACTCGGTTCTGCCTCCAGAATGACGGCGAAACAAAGATGTTGCATAGCAGGACGTAAGCTCCAGGAGAGGAAAGAGTGTTCGTTTTTTTTACTGATTATGGAACTTTCTGGGAGGGCTCTGGGAAACTCCTGCAGTTCTGTGCAATCAATCAATGCAATCAATTGTTTACTGCAGGGATCAGCTGTGGGTGCTGTTTACGCTGGCTCTCTCTCCACAGGAACCTGGTTCTGCCTCCAGAATTAAGCTATAGAGAGGGCACAGAGATATAAACCATATCTACCCTTCGTGATTATGGGAAAGGTCCGCTCTCTCCCAAATGAAAGGGACGAGCTCTCAACACTTATCTCTGCTGATTTCTGCTGTGGTACTACTGACAGCCTGATGTTTTTTAACGGAGACGTGGCTTCAGTGAGCTTGTTTCAGCACGGAGAATTCAGACAAAGAAGCTTCATACAACATGGTTTAGTGTTCTTTTTCCTGATGATTAGACCTGGCTAACAGCAACACAACTCTACCTCTGAATTTATTTACATTGCAACGTTAATGTTTTATCTCCAAGACAAGCTTGAAGGAGTTCTGCTGTGTTCAGTTGCTAATGCTAACAGTTAGCTTCTACTTACCAAGTCGTGCTCTGCTGTTTCCTGGATGCTAAACTGTCAACAACCTTCTCCATCATGAGCCATGAATGTGTGACATAGATCTGTCAGGATTTTCAAATCTTAAGAGTTTCAACATTTATTTTCTATCAGAAGCTAATGCAGGAAATTGTGTTGGACACAATAATCACATCCAGTCTGCAGGTTAAATTCAGCAAGTGACCGATCATTTTCAAAAATGATGAGTAAAAAATGGTTTCTCAGTGAAGGATCTCTTTATGTATGCATGCACAAATTTATTATGGCCACTTTGTGCTACTTTCATTTGTTTGAAGCTTTGTTTGTGTGCGTCCTCTGAAATTATTGCAACAGATTTGCAAACTGCAATATGCGAGTAACCTGTAGGGGGAGTTGACAAAACAAGCAAGGCATAGGCCTACTCACCATTGTCAGGCTGTCTGGTCAACACATTCTCACACCCAAAGTATCAAAATATGACGTGTGTGACCAAGCCTCAATATATGACAATTCGGGATGCCCTAGTGCGTCAGGAGAGGACGCATTGAGGACGCACTGTCCCAGAGGGTCGGTGTCCAACGCCCGCGATGAGATGGATATTAGAGCAACTTGCGAACTACTTAACTTTCCCCTCACCCCCATTCTAACCTTAACTCAGCTGAGTTACTGAGTTAAGGTTAGGATTGGGATGAGGGGAAGGTTAGATCGTGTAATAATCAAATACGGACGCCAGTGGTGCCACGTGTCTCTGATCGTCCTCTCCTGATGCGCTGGGGCATCCCGAATCGTCATATATTGAGGCTTGGTCACACGTCACATTTTGGCGCTTTGAGTGTGAGGATGTGTTGGTCTGGTTTATGGGTCTTACAAGCTATCTATGATATGGCCACTTTATTCTGTTTTGATCTGAAAATTAACCAGCTACTGATCTCTTCTATAGTTGCCATATTTGTTTTGTTTGTAACCTAAAAATCAGCCACCTATCAGTTCTGTACTGTGCCTCCTAGCAGAATACTCCAGCAGCAAGTATGTGAACAATCAATGCAAGGTTAAAAAACAAGTATAATCCCGCTCCGCCAAAATTGCGGACCCTGAACGGTCCATACCAGCTCGTGAAAACCCGCTCTGACTCGTCCTGGTCCCTTCAGTGGAAATGTAGCTAATTAAGCAACATATCATTCCAAAAGATTTAGAAGATGTAGATAAATGTATTTTAAATAATAAATGGTCTCCAGGCTTTTTGGTTCAAAGTGAAAACCTGGAGTCAATAAAAACTACTTCCATATGACTTTTATTTCCCTCAAACTTAGCCGGAGTCTAACAAGAACGACCAAAAGCATTAGGTCTGACCAATAGATAGAAAATTACTTACTGGTGGACAGAAATCAATGATAGTAAAGGACGTTTGAAAATTAAATTTCTAATAATGGTCCAGACTGCAGTTGTCTAATTGGAGTCAAAGTCAAAGTGAATGATGATAAGGACAGTGACCCTCCTGTTCATTGCTCCTTCACCATAGACTCCAGCAAACACATTTCTCAGCTATGGATTATGTCTGTGCAGAAGGCCGTTCACTAAGCGCGTCCCGACATGAACGAGACGAAACAAAATCAAAACACACACCAGGCCAGTGGGGAACAGGTGCGATGGGAAAAGCCATTATGTGGGCTTTGATGGAAAAGCATAAATTGGCTTCTCAACACAACAAAATAAAAACAAAAGGAAAGAGGAGCAAAATGTAAGCCCGCGATGGTAACCTTTAAATAAATAAAAGCAAGATAAGGGCAGCTGGTTTACTTTCATCTAAAAAATTGCTACTATGCAAACCTGTGTAAAAACATATTCATCCTGTACAACAAGCGAGTTTGTGTCCACGTGTCCAGGAAAGATGTACTGTCTGTTGCCATCCGTGCATCTGTGGGCTCTGCACTTCACATACTGAGCACCTGAAAGAGGAAAAAAAAAATAATAATAATCAGAGGTAAATCTGAGCCATTTCCATTCCAACTGTACTATTAAGTAACTAAATCTGCTGCTTCCATTTTAAATCTGCATTAAATTCCCTCTTTGGAGACCAATTTAAAACCAATTTGAAACCGACACAAACATTGTTACTGTTCAAATATCAGCTGAGCTTTATGACTAAAAGTGTCCGGGGTAAAGTTATTGTCTTCTATGATTAAAATGATAATGTCTATAAAGCATATGCAAACAAATCAGCTGTATTTAAGTATGTTTACATAGTAAAAAGAAAGTCTCCTATAGAATTATATTTAAAAAGCAAACAGTGAATAAAGAAATACATACTTTAAATGCTTATTAGAAGTTAAGGAAAGGGGATGAGAAGATGTGAATGTAAAGCTACCTATATGTCTAAATTATCATCGTTTTTAAAATTACATGTTAACTCAAGAGCCTATTATGGTTATTTCAAAGGCCCTACATCTTGTAAAGGCCTATATATACAGGCCTATTTCACTTCTCACGCAGATGTTAAAATTTTAGCAAAAAATTTGGCAACTGATCAGGACAGTTATTCCTGCTATTATTTTAAATGACCACAATGGTTTTATTAAAGATAAACCTGATTTTTAATGTTTGCACATTTTTAAATGCTATTCCTTTCCAACACTTGACCACTACTCCAGAGGTAATTAATTCTCGACGCTGAAAACACTTTTGATTGCGAGGAATGGAACTTCCTCTTTGCGGTTTTTCAAAAGTTTGGATTTGGGGGGAATTTTTTTTCATGGATTTGATTGTTTTATGACTCACCCCAGGCCAGTGTGTGCACAAATGGCATTTTCTCCAAACATTTCCCATTGTCATGCGGCACAAGGCAAGGTTGTCCATTATCCCCTTTACTGTTCATTATCGTCACTGAACCCCTATCTGTGGCCTCGAAGTCCCTTCCTCATTTTAGTGGTTTATTTCAATCAAACCTTGATATAAAATTATCATTATATGCGGATGACTTGCCTTTGTATGTTTCTGATCCCCTGTTAGTATGCCACGAATATGTTTGGCTCTTTGTCTGGCTACAAGATTCATCTTTTTAAGAGCGAATGTTTCCCAATAAATCCCTTAGGTGTTGCAATTAAACAATCTGATACCCTTTTTAAGTTTAGCCTCTCTAGGTTCAAGTATTTAAGAGTCAATGTAACTCGTACTTTATCCTCATATACTTCCAACTTCTCACCTCTGATCACCTAACTCAAATCCGACTTTCAAATGTGTAATTCCTTACATCTGTGTTGCGTTGGCCGAATCATATGGGCAAGATGAATGTCCTGCCCCGATTGCAGTTTTTGTTCCAATGCCTCCCAGGATTTCTACCTAAAGCCTTTTTCAAACAATTAGATGAGCTGGTTTAGTCGTTTTTGTAGGGAGGGAAATCATTAGGTAGATTGAAATTTGATGGTGGTCTTGCCTTGCCTAACTTTATATTTTATTATTGGTCAGCTCACATTTATAAATTAACATATTGGCCAGATTCCTGTGAGCTGTTGTGATGTAAGTTAGAACGCTTGTTGTGCACCTCCACCTCTTTCAGGGCTGGCAGACCAACCTCTGTCAGTGCGCCCCAGGGCAGCTCTGGCTACATCTTAGCTCATCCCCACCAGCGTGTGAATGTGTGTGTGTGAATGGGTGAATGGGTGAATGACTGATTGTGTTGTAAAGCACCTTGGGAGGTTCTAGGACTCTAGAAGGTGCTATATCAAATACAGGCCATTTACCACAAGCTAGTCTTAAAGTTTGGTCACAATACATGAATCATTTTAAATAGACTTCCACATCTGTACACATGCTCATCATTCTAAAGCATTTATTTCCTCCTGGTCTCACTGATATGCCCAATGGAGACATCATGGAATTACCACCTTTGAAGACCTCTATAGGAATGGTGCTTTTTGAGTTTTTCAGAACTTCAGAATATTCTAAAGCGAATCTTCCAGCCTCTCACCTGTTCAGTTATTTTGTTCAGTTATTTTCAGGTTTGTCATTTCATCCCTACTCTCTTTCCTTCCTATCTTTGTCTTCCGAGCACTCAACCATGGAAAGAATTGTTATCTCTTAAATTGATTGTATCCCTGATATACAAACAACCTATGGACTCGGATGCGCATTCAGTGGATGCAGTTAGAAAAGCTTGGGAACAAGAGTTGGGTGTAAGGTTTTCCCTGAGGAGGATAAAGGTCATTCATAAGATCAGACCGTGGCGGTAATGTGGTGCAATCATGGCAATTTTATAAAAGATTAGGTGATGGCGGCATAAAGGGGGTATGGGGGCGGTCTCTGCGCTGCCACAGACTTCCGTTTATCTTGGATATAACTTGCTTTTCATTGCGATTGAAGCCGTGATCGTTAAGTTTTTTTTTTAACAAGCAGCTCCTAAAGGTGTCTGTCCCCATCAGTCCCTGTGCAGTCTCTGGTGATCTGAGCTTCATTTTCAACTTTCATTTATTTATTAGATCCCCATTAGCTGCTGCTTCAGCTCGCTCATGGGGCGCTGCTGTGCTCCAGTTTGCCATCTCAGCTGATTTTGTTCAAAAAGCAAACGTTATTGCCTTTGTTTACTTTCATTTTCAATTAATTTGCCAGCCGGAGCTCAGCAATAACCCCCCACGTCATCATGACATCTGCCTCTGTTGCACCAGGGCGCATACAACGGACTATTACCGCAATATTACTACCAAGCGAGGCGGAACAAATGCCGCAATACTCGCGCAACGCCATGCTGGCATGGCACATTTATAGACATACCATTGTGGTAATATTACACCGATTTGCTGGCATTGTGTGTCTTATTAAAAGGGCTTAAGAGATGTCAAGCCACTTTGTGGGACCCGAGTCACATGTGCTACTCATGTCTGGAACTCCTTGGCTTCTGGAGCCATTTCAGCTGTCCTTTCCGGGCCTCTCAGGACCTGGGTTTGTGTGAACCCCTTCTTAGGCATTTTTGGGCTACCAGGTGACACCATCTTGACTAATCCCACTCATTCTAAAACATTGGCTTTTGCATCACTTTTAGCCAGACGCTGCTTATTACTCCAGTGGAAATCTCCTGAACCTCTAGTTTGAATCTGTTATGTCATTTCCTAACTTATAAAAAATATGCCTCACAGCAAAGGCTGCTTCTGGAAAATTTGCTTGCACGTGGGGCCCCATTGTTGACTATTGTAGGCCATTAAATGCTGTGCCAATTTAATATACCCTCCTTTTTTAGGGTAGTGTTTTTGTTTCGTTGTTAAGGAAGAAAAGTAAGAAGATGTATGTGAGACGAACTAATTGTATGGCCAAGTGTGTTTCTATGTATAATGTTTCTTTCGCAATTAACATGGTAAAAAAAATCAGTCATTTGTACGTTTTATCCACCAAGTTGTCTACCTCTGTTTTATTTATTTTTGCTGCGTCAGGTTCATACTGTTCTGACATAAATAACAAATGCACGTTAATTCTCTTTATTATAGTGAAGAGTTAAACCATGTTAGACAGGGTGCTAAATCAATGTTTCAACTATACTTTATTTGTTTTTATTCTGCTCCTTCAGCCTTTTTTAAAAACTGTTTTATGCAAAACAATTGCATCAGCCTTTACACCTGAAGAAACCTAAATTGTGTGCTCAAAATCCAGGAGTGTCATAAATTCAGACTAGAACGAGAACTTGAACCTCTTTTAGTTTCTCATAAAAACAGTTCAGGATGGTGCTGTCTGAGGCGAGTTTGGATGCTAATTTGCATAAAGATTTGTTTTTCTACAGAAGAAGTGTGCATACGTTTTTCCCCCAAGTAGGAAACCCCCATAATTGGTTTGACAGAATATGCAGCACTCTTTAAAAGGAGAGAGCCGAGGTTTGTCTATAAAACACAGGGGATAGATTAGAAAGAAGAAACATCCATCAGCCCACTAAAACACTCTGTTTCTTTTCCGGGAGACACCTATTCTGCTTTACTCGACTTCAGGGACCAATCTGAGCAGCAGAACAGGTCTCATCTTGCCCGTGACCTCTCTCTAAATGAGAGCCAAGGGGTCCTGTGGGTCTTGCTACAGCAGTGGACTGAATTGTAGTACTCACGGCCTTTTGCAATGTGTGTCTCAATGTGGACCACGTCTGATTCTCTGTCCAGCCCCATTACCGCCCTTGAAAGAATGGGAAGAAGAGATAGAGGGGAGCACAAATAGGGTTAGTGGATTAGAAAAGGATAAATGAGAATTAGAAGACAAGAAAGGAAGGCCTGGTTAGCTGTGGATGGACGACCCTATTCTGGAAAACCAACAATGTATTTTCTTTATCTCCTGTAAATCACTCATTGCTGAATTTGCACCACCAGTGGCAATTAATCTCAATCTAGCGAGGCATCAACAAAGGCAGCCACTATTTCCCTAAATATTCACTAACGCAAATGAGTGCTGCGATAAAATTGCAGACAGCTGCAGCAGAATAGGTAAAATAACTTTTTGACACAATGTGCATGAAGGAAAAGCATTCAAGAGCACACATAATGCATTATTTTGGGCGCTTCTATGCCAACTGAGGCCCTCTAATTTTTTAAACATTTGACTGTTCACGCATGTGGAGACCATGTTGTCAGTCCAATGTCCTTTCTTTCTTTTCAATGTAAAAAAAACCTGTTTGTTGGACACACGCTATAACCAACAGGGTAAATGGACTCGCATCAATATTCACGGCCTTGTGCCCGCACAGTAAAATTTCCTAAATGACTGCAACAACAAAAACAGCATGTCGTGTTTGTGCTACTGAAAAGAAAGAACAATATTACATCAGGCCTACGTGATGTGGATTAATCAGCTTTGGGCTTGACGTTGGTGTAGAAATCAGTTTTTTTATAAGAGGTCACTGGATTCTTATAAAGGCTGGGCATGAACATCCTTGTTATGCAAATTAGAATTAATCATAGCAGAAAAATGAGCACAAATAAAGTCTACAGGGTCGTACCAGTAGAATCTGCCCGGCATTACACTGTCATGGACGAGCTGCCATTTCCTCCCAAAGTCCATGGAGCTATACAGCTGCAAAAAAACAAAAATAGACCAGATTTTATCATTGAGCGTCGTAGCTATCATTTGTTTCTCAGTAGAATAAATTGGAAATGAATGTAAATACATTACAATTGGTCCAAGTGGTATTTCATGGAAGAACTATAGTAACATATTTAAGACATTGTTTTTATGACATAACATTTTTATTCTGTTCAATTATGTGTTAGAATTTTTTAACTTAAAGAGCGAGTAACACGTAAATACATTTTTTTGCTGATAACCTGTATATACGTGTCTAATAGTGATGTAGACATGTGTAGTCTTTAGTTTGGCAGTTTAGAGCATCTTATTTAAATTTTTAAAATGCAGCCAAAAACCCGTAATTATATCTCCCTCATCAGAAAAAAACTGATTTAGAATCAGCCACAGCTGATGGCTAAGAGGTCCCATGTGACGTCATCTGTCCCCAGTATTACGTGACTGGACTGCACTCGACTGCATCGAGTGACAACTGCTTTGGCGTGGTTCATCGGGAGGTCGGCTTATTGTTGAATTTTTACAGTTGAAATTTTGTGGAGGAAATGTTTGCTTGTGTATTTTAATTCACATTTGATTACATAATCACACAGAATAAAATTCAATGTCATAAATTCAGTGTGTAAAAAAGTCATATTCTGGTGAGACTGTATTTCTTCCACACAATTTTAGGACCATTTGGCCAGGAGCTACCTTGTTGTCATGACTGTAAGCCAGGATCCAGTTCTCCTGTGCAGGGTGGAATAGGAGGCTCAGGATGTTGAAGTTAATGGGATACTTCTCAAAGCTCGCCCCTTCATCTGAGCTGATGAGTACAGCACTCTCTACTTCTGGGTCGCTAAGCATCATTATCTAAAGTACAGACGGCCACACGGGGGATGCAGCGTTAGAAGAAGGAGGCTCAGAGACACTCATTTGGCAGTAATTTTTAAGAAATTGCAGCTTGATGTCAAGGCAAGCTTTATATGAGAGCAGACAAATAAAAGCCTGGTAGATGTGCTGACCTTCTGTTTGTTGGTAGGGCAAACATAGAGGTAGCTCAGGACCGTCCTTGAACCCACTTTGTCATTGAGTTTGGCGTAGGTGCTCCCATAATCAGTTGATCTGGACATAAACAAACAACACAGCATGTTTAAAAGGAAAACGGTTAATAAGCATTTAATACAATTTTTTCACCCAGAATTAAGTATTTGCACGGTATACTATGTAAAAGTTAATTTCTTACTGCTTAGAAAACAAATTTCTTTCAGACATTAAGCAGATCTTACAGAATGTTCTGTAGTGTTTCATCAATTTATTATAAAAGGTCCTGTTAGGAACATAATCACCCCTTCAGCCTTTGTAATGGCCTTATAATGAGGGATTAAATCAGGAAAGTAGGCAGAGGCAGCAAAAAATGATTTTTTTAAGTAGTCAAACCTTCAGGACACTTTGTTTTTCTACTATAAACACTTGTGTTATAAATCTAAATCAGAAAAAAGGTGGACGAAGTAGGCCTCGTACTGGTAAGAACTGGTAAGGACGTCTGACAAGTGGGTGCCCTTTTTGCTTGTTGGCCTATTTGATGGCATTAAAAATATCTTAAATTCAACATAAACATTAAATGACTATTGATGCATCATGTGGTGTTCAAAAACACAAGTTATTTTTATTTGTAGAAAAAAGAAGCACAGGGACTATTATGGCCAGGGTTGGTGTAACTGGTTGGTCTGGGACACATAACACATTATCTCACTAAGCTGCAACCATTGGTGTCTATTGTTATAGACAGAAAATATCCAAATAACTTTGCAAATTTTACTTGTATTCATACTAAGTTTAATCTCAGAATTCTTTCATTGGAAGATTTAAACATGGCTCAGTCAAAAGGGACATGTTGGAGTTTTCTTGTTGCAGTTTGTTCACAGAATATTAAATTGTTGCCAGTGTCTCTCAAAGTTTTCTTTGCCCCAAATGGGTTAAGATAGAAGATAGAATCCAGATTGAATCCAAATAGAATCCAAATGTTCACAGCAAATCTGTGACTTTGGGAACATTTTTCTTGTACATTTTGAACATGCTCAAAATGCAGGTCAACGTTTGAGGAATTTTAGAAAGACACTTGCAGTTTCTCCTTAATATTTACAACCTGGTGTGACATGGTTCGTAGTATATCTACATCCAACAACACAAAAGAAATTGTAACTACTAGGCTGCAAATGCAAGCTGAAAACAACAAATATAGAACAAATGAATAACTAGTAAAAAACATAAAATCAACAGTTAAACAATAATAGATGCAGTATATATATATATATATATATATATATATATATATATATATATATATATATATATATATATATATATATATCACAAATCAAGGGAAAAAAAGCCTAAAGAATGTCAATATTTAATCATTTTGGTGAGTTACGTTACAAATCTTCTAAATAGCTACAGGAAACATTCGGCACTTGATACAATTTTTGTTAAATCTCCTTTACATGGTTTGACAAAGGATCAATATCATTTGACAACCAAAACGAAAGAATCAATGTTAAAAATAGCCTCGAGTTCAAGAGGTTTTGGCTATTTTCTGCATTGAAACGATGATTCTAAACTGATTGGCCAGCACATCTTCTTCCATAAAATACATCATGACTTTGATATGAAACCTTTCACAAAGCTCACATATCCGAAAATGTATTTTAAATTTAGATGGCAGGCATTACACCAGTGATGTTTGTAGACCAAATAATAGGCCTCAGCAATGAAAAAGACCAATTTAAAACAAAAATAAAATTTCTGTTTGTGAATTTAAAGATGCTTGCACTTCACTAAGCTGCACCCTGTGACAAGGGCAGACATGTTTGTCATTCATGCCTTCATATGTCTTCTCACCTGGGTGCCTCCAAATGTAATTTCATGGAATAAGTGGATGGAAGCCCGGAGTCTATACTATCACTGTCAATGCATTAACTCAGAGTGTCCATTTCCTGTTGGTATTGTTTTCACAAACTTGCCACTAAGAAATGTTTGTGCTTAAATGCTCCTCTTCTCAGCTGGCGTATGTGTGTGTTTGACTGTGGAGGTGGGAGAACGACTCATAAATGATGTAATTACGTTTCATCTCAAAACACAAAGGGACTCGTGTTTCGGCATCTCATGCAAATCGCTCATTGATCTGCTCGCTGCGTTTTGCCACCAACTGAGGCCTACAGCTGCAGACATTAATCATTTATTATGTTATCACACAAATCATTTATTCTCTTTTCTTTTCATAACATTCAGATTGCTGCTTTTCTAATATCCACACTAAGAGCCTTTGCAGACCCCTGAGGTACTCTAATTTACTAGTAGGCCATTGTTAAGCAGACACATTGATGATGAAAAACCTCCTGTACACAATATGGGGTTTCAAAGTGAGTCAAGTCGAGTGTAAATCTTGGCGATGCCTCTGGAGAAACAGATATTAATTTGAAACTCTATGCTTGGCAGTCTGATGGCCTCTTTTTCATGTGCATTTCAGAGTCAAATGAATTCTCTGCAGGTGTTTGAAGAGGTGAGGGAAGGCGTTTCGGAGACAGTATTGGACTTTGTGGTATAATCCGCAATGAATTCTATTCTTATTTATGACCTGACAGTGCACTGTAACTCACCCCTCAATGCATACTGAATGAAATTACTATGACTGTATCGTAGAAATTGCATGTAAATTGCTTCCGAAACAGAAGGTTACAGTTGACTATCAATCACACACACATAAACACACACACCACAAAAAAACTTCACCATAAAGTTTCCTGGTCAGTCAGAAAAAGCACCACAGGTTCAAACAAAGAAGCCGTCAGATCAATCATCTGGTTTATCTTTCAGAAATAGCCTTTCAAAAAGTTTCCTATCAGATGATGGACAGAAAGTGGAGCCCTTTTTAAAAGGTTGCTGTCGTTACTTGGTGTTATTTATGGGACATCGGGAAGCAGAGAGGAGGATGGTTCAATCTGAGCCGCCTCAGAACGCTTTATTAAAACAGTTCACACAGGCTTGCACTGAAACTCAATTGTTCATTTCCTAGCCAGGGCTAGACTATAAATCTTACTTAGAACATATGCCCTGCTCTGTGAATATATTGTTGTTTTGAGGCTGATGCACTAACTCTGATATTTAGAGTGAAACTTATAAGAAGCCGTGATTAAAACAGGAGAGCTTACCTCCAGAGCGAGCTCTCGGTAACAGCAGCCAGGTTGAAGTCGTACAGCTTTGTCAGGATCAGGATCACCTGCAAACATCAACGAGATGTGCTTAATTGCACGCCGGAGTCTTTGCAGGAAGACCTCAGCAGCATCAGTCTGCGCTTAATGACGTGGAAGGAATTAAACATTTATGCTACATTTCTGAACTAATAAATATCAGCCTCGTACAGTATAGCCCAATGACAAGAAACTGTCATGTTGTCAGGATGTGTCAGTCTACTAGTAGTAGGACTTATAAAAAAAAAAGAGAAGAATCTCTGAGGGCTGTCAGGAATTATCTCTGCATCTCATGTGGAACGATCCCCACCTGACAGCAAAATCTGAACATAATTGTTCAGTGAACAATAAGAGGAAATGCTCTCATTGGCTGTGCTGCATATCTTTCTCACATTCCCTTTCTTTTTTTTCTACTTTCCCATCTAAACTAAAATTGTTGTTCCGGCAAAATTGTAAACAAATGTTGACGTCAAATAATGCCAGTGAATGTTGTGTTATCTCACTTATTAAACACTTTTTGCATGCTCTTTTGATGCTTGGAGGAAGTGTTGCTGGGGAAACAAAAACACGGCCCAAGCCGGTCAGTTCAGAAGGGATTTGGTTTGCAGATGCATTATGGTTCCTAACGGTATTTGAATGGCTTCCCATGCAGATGCTCATAAGGGGAGTTGGGAGTTTGGGGAAGGGCTGGAAGAAGGAGGAGTAAGGATGGTGGATATTAACAATCAAGAGACAAAAAAAGCAACATTTATTATGATGATTTTTTTTTAAACAAAACCATGAAAGATGGGTCAGAAGCTCAATTACAGTGAGTTTAAACACATTAACCTTGTGAGACCCATGGAAGAAGTTATTAAAGCGTGAAAAGCCGCGCAGATTCAGGGGAACAAAGACATGCCAATAAGTCTGCATTGAAAATGTTAAAAACCCAATTGACCCACAATTTAGCCATCAAACGACCAATGTGCATTCCCACGACTATCTGCATTACAGGTTAATTAACCAATCACACAGCCAGATATGCATTTGCATAACTAAATGCACCATGTCTGCAAGGTCCAACACTGGAGTCTGAATCAATTTGGAGTACAGACTTAGTTAAACGGCTGTGATGTTCGGCCTAATTGTCCGCTTTGAAAAATAGATACAAGAGTAAAACTCCACCGAACTGTTAATTGTTTGTCTCCTTATTTATTTATTTATTTATTTATTTTGTTTCTTTTTTTTTTTTTCATTTTGTTGCTAGCAACAGTTACTCAGTGTCATGGGATCTTTTAATACTAGAAGGCAAATTGGATCTAGAATTTATTTTATTGGTGTCAAACTAAAGGCAGTTTCTTAATTTCCAAAGGGAATTAAACACCCAGCTTAGAAGGCAAAATGTGTCCTGTTCTGTTTCCCCTTGGTCCCCAAGTGCTTTGTTTGGGAGATAGCGCTCTGCAGTGGGCTGCAGATTATTTTGAGGCACATCCTATCAGAACTGTGCCTTTCTGGGCTTTTGCCAAGAAACTGCAAGTGACCTTTGACCGTGACTCACCTCCATGTACTGCTTGTACCACCACCTCCTCCACGTCTCCTCCATCTGCCCCGAGACCTAATTACCTTCCAGCCACTCTCTCAACAATCAGATCCGGCTTCCTCTCCTGCTCCCCTGTCCCTGTTGGCACCACCTCTTCCCCTCTGGTGGGTCAACTTGCTGCAGCACTTGCCAGCCCCAACAGCGCCACCCCTTCTCCGGTAGTCAGACTCTCCATGCCACAATGCCCCGGGGTCCAGGTTTCGCATCCAGGTCAGCGTTGCTGGCGAAGTGCAGTTCCTCCTGACACCACCTCCAGTCTCCTGGTGGGTCAGGTCACCAAGGGATCTGTCGCCTCGCCTCATGGTCTGCACTCAGGACCTAGAGTCAAGCAGGAACCATCCTCCTCTCCCCTGGTGGTTCAGAGGCCCCCCACACGACGAAGGTGTCGCAACCGTCACCAGCAATCTCATAAGGTCAGAGCTGCTCCGTCAGTTCAAGAAGTCCCTGCCATGCAACCTCAGTCAGAGCTTCACCCAGCTCAGCCCGAGCGCCACCCGCCATAGCCGCCGGCTCAGCCCGAGCTCCACCTATTCCCCGAGACCAAAGCTGGGCTGCCTGTCCAAAAGGCCCCTGCTCTGCAGATCCAGACCAGGCTCCAGCCTCCCTCTGAACCCCACCTGTCTGCATCAGCTCTGTCCAAGCTCCCACTGTCATCACAACGACAATGTTATAAACATCTCCAATGTCCTCCAAATGACCAGTCTGAGCTCCAACGCCCTCCAGATGCCAGAGTTGTGCCGCCTACTCAAGAGGCCCCTGCTCTGCAGCCTGAGGCTGAGCTCCCACTGTCATCACCGCGGTGCTGCAGAACCCCTCACCATCGTAAGCCTGCTCTCATGCTCCAGCCCGAGGGTCCAGGACCGATGGGGTTGGTTCACCTGGGTGGAGCTCAAGGACAAGTCCCTGTTCGTCGGCACCTGGCTGGCTGTGTGGCCTCCGGGGGGTTGGTCCTCGTTGTAGGGAATGTTTCCTAGCATCTTCTCCAGGTCAGTGTTGCAAGAGGGCCATAGTTCCACCTGGTGCCACCACCAGTCTTCTGGTGGGTCAGGTCTCTACAGGTTCTGCACCCTTGCCTCAAGGCCTACGTTCATGGCCTGGAGCCCCCCTCCTGACACCTGCTTACCTCTGGAGGGTACGTGGGGTTCCACGCTACAGCTCGGCCCAGAAGTTCTGTCCCCACCGTCAGCGGCTCCGCCTCCAGAGACTTTGTCCCCGCCTTCAGCGTCTCCGTCTCCAGTACCTCTGTTCCAGCTGTCCAAGAGGCTCCGGTCCAGCCTGTCTAAGAGGCTCCAGTCCAGCCCTGGCAGCGCCACGTCTGGCGCCTTCGTCTCCACCTGCAGAGTCTTCGTCCCCTCCGCCTGCAGAGTCTTCGTCCCCTCTTCCTCCAGAGTCTTCATCCCCTCTTCCTCCAGAGTCTACATCCCTTCTTCCTCCAGAGTCTATGTCCCTTCCTCTTCCTCATCCTCATCCAGAGTCCCTTCCTCATCCTCATCCAGAGTCTCTTCCTCATCCTCATCCAGAGTCCCTCCCTCTTCCTCATCCTAATCCAGAGTCCCTTCCTCTTCCTCCTCATCCAGAATCTTCATCCCGTCCTCTTCCTCCTCATCCAGAGTCTTCGTCCCTTCCTCCTCCTTCTCATCCAGAGTCTTCGTCCCTTCCTCCTCCTTCTCATCCAGAGTCTTTGTCCCTTCCTCCTCCTCATCCAGTGTTGTCTGAGTCCCCTCATCCTTCTCCCGAGTCTTCGTCTCCTCATCCTCCTCCCGAGTCTTCATCCCCTCATCCTCCTCCCGAGCCTTTGTCCCCTCAGCCTCCTGAGTCTTTGTCCCCTCAGCATCCTGAGTCGTCGTCCCCTCAGCATCCCGAGTCCTCGTCCCCTCAGCCTCCTGAGTCTTCATCCCATCAGCCTCCTGCGTCCCGGCTCCTGGTTCCCCATCGTCAGCCCCCCAGACTCCCCTGGTTCCGGCTCGTGGTTCCAGGTCCTCGACCCCCAGACTCCCCTGGTCTCTGTTCCTGGTTCCCCGTCGCCGGCAACCCAGTCTCTCTTGGCCCCTGTTTTTCCCGTGTCCACTCTCCTGCTTTATTTGCTCCTGACCCTGTGTTTGCTCTTTTTTGGTCGTTTAGGGGTGTTTGTGTTTTTTGGTCCCCCCCCCCCCCCCCCCCCTCGCCCGCCCTTGTGGTTGCTTGTGTCCTGCTTTGTCCTTGTCTTCTGTTTGTGGTTTTGTCTTTGTGTCTTTTTGTACATCTGGTATCCTGTACTGTCATGTTCTGTGTGTCCCTATGCTTCCCCAGCCCTTTCCAGGTTCTCCTCATGTGTCTTCTTGTGTTCTCCAGCTCCCTCTAGGCTTCCCTCATGTTTCCTCCTAGTCACTCCCGTGTATTTCCTATTGGTTTGTATTAATCCTCCTCACCCCTCTAGTCATCAGTTGTTTATCTTTACCCTTAGTCTTTATGTTTAGTTATTTAGTGTTTTATAGATTATGGTTTATCTCCCCCTCTGCTTAGTTCTTTCCCCATTTAGTTTATTAATGGCACCTGTCTCCCCGCTAGACCTCACTCCTCACACCTGTCACCTGTTCCCCTGATTGCTTCCCTCTGTGTTTAAAAACCCTGTCTTGTCCCTCAGTGTTTGTTGGTCCATTGTCTTTGTCAGTGTTGTTCTGTCCTCCTCAGGAACTCCAGGTTCTTGCTCATAAATTAGCTTTTGTTTTTGTAATTCAGTTTTTCTAGATTTTAGGCCTGGCTTCCTGCCCTTTGGATATTTTCTCATCATCCTAATCAACGGACTTCTCATTTATTCAACCGCTTCTGCCTCAGTTGTCTGGGTTTCAGCATTTTAGGTCCAAACCTCCTGCTCTCAACACGACAGAATGAGTTTATACTAAAGGGGTGTTGTACAACATTCTGTCATATATGCCATCATGTATGGTGGGCTGCCAAAGGCAAGATCCAGATGAAATAGGAAATACAGCATGAAAGAAAGAAAATAAACTATAAAAGGGAAAAAAAGAATATTTCTTTATATACAGTAGCCTTTTTATTCCTTGATAAAAAATACTATTAATTTTATGTTCATGTGTTTATCACTTTAATCCTTTTATTGATTTGTTTTTACCAAGCCAATTTTACTTAGGTAGATGAGGATAACGAGGAAGAGGACAGCGACGACAATGATGATGAGGAGGAGGATGATGGAGATGATGAGACTCATGATGATGATGTTGATGATGATGAGAACAATGAGGAAGATTAAGATGATGATGAGGGTCATGGTGATGATGATGATAACAATGAGGAGGAGGAGGAGGAGAATCATGATGATGATGATAATGATGATGAGGAGGATGAAGAGGATGATGAGGGTCATGATGATGATAACAATGAGGATCATGATGATGATGACAACAATGAGCAGGATGAAGATGAGGAGAATCATGATGATGATGATAATGA